GACCCCCACGTATCCCTGGGGATCAGACCTCTGCTTGTAGTACCAGTACTACACGGTGGCTCCTGAATAACCCCGGGAACGGAGCCAGGGTCATGACCCCTTGGCCACTGGGCCAATTTGGGAGAAGGGGCGGCTCCTTCACGCACCTGCTACTGGGTCTGAGGCATCTTGGGGTCCTCGGCGCCTGTTGGGCGGGGGGTCCGGGGAGCGGCTCGGGGTCCAGACATGATGGCGCCAGCAGTTCTCGCAGCAGCATCATGGAGAGGTCTGGCGCTGGCTCGGCCTCCATCATGCCCCGGCCCAGCCCCCTCCCCGATCTCGCCCCGCCCCGCCCCGCGGGCCCACGGATGAGCGCCACCTGGGTGAGGCGCAGTGTGCGTGGTGCGGCGCTGCAGCAGGGGGCAATGAGCCCCACCTGGGGGCGGGGCGCTGCCAGACCCTGCAGCCTCGCCCCCACCTGTAGACCAGCCCGCCCCTTCCCTTCCTACTCCGGGACTCCACTGGGGGGGGGCCTGCACACCCCTCGTGGCCAGGGCGGCCTGGGCCCCTGCAAATCCCTCCGCGGCTGCAGGGGCGGGGCCTTGCCTGCTGACGCACACGGAGCCCTCCAGCTTCCAGGCCCTGTGCCAGGCCGCTGCCTCAGTTTCCCCGCTGGCCCCGTCGCTGCTGTGCGAGGTGAGAGTCGAGGGCCTGGAAGATGAAGTTGTAGTTCCGGGGCGGGACGGGGCTGCCCCCACCTCCCCGCCAAGGACACTCAGATGCTGGAGTTCCGTAAGATGGTTTTATTGTCACTCTAATTAGATTGCACCCCTTTCCACACGCAGGTTCTCCGGGGCTTGGAGAGGCTGCCCAGTAGGGGCCCTGTCTCCACCAGAGCCTGGACATGGGGTCTCTGAAGCATTTGGCCTTCTTGGTGCTTCTGACATCTCTCGGGCCTGTCCACGCTCTGGGCTGGGCTGGCAACGTGACTGTTTCTCCAGTCCTGGCCCTTGGGCCACGGGTGTCCGGGACGGTCCAGCTGCCCATTATCAGTGCGGCTTGGGGACGTGGCCATCCACGTAGAAGTTCCTGGTGATCTTGGGCAGGGTGAATTCGGCCCCTTCCAGCTCAGGGGTCAGGATGATCTGGCAGCCCAGCCGGGAGTTCTCCTGGAGGAGGGGGGCCATGTCCAGCATGTCATCCTCCCTGGGCGAGGGAGGCAGTGGTTAGCAGTGGGCACGCTGGTGCCGCTGGTGAGGAGGGCTCAGAGGAGCAGAGATCACCTTTCAGGCCAGGGAGGGACAGGCTGACTGAGTCCAGGGGAAGTGGTTCGAGGGGGAGAAAAGCTGGGGCTGCCCTCAGCTGCTGCCCAGTGGACCTCTGGACACTGGGAAGGAAAAGGCTCAACAGCCAACCCTGCGGCTGCGAGCTGCAAGGGGGCTGCCCGCTCACCTCTCATCAGGAGAAGGCAGGAAGTCCAGGTGGTCCTCGCTCACATACACATGGCAGGTGGAGCAGGCCAGGGACGCCTCACAGGCCCCTGGAGGGCAGCAAGTGAAGGGAGTTTAGGTAAGTGGCATCATCAGGCTGGTGTCACCCAATGAAAGACATAAGGGAGAAGCCTTTTGTTTCACCACGTGCCCCTAATCTTCCCCTCCCGCCTGTATGCCCTGTGGGAGCCCTCCCCCCGTCCTCTCCTCAGCCCGCTGTTCCTGAGCTGTGGATGGGTTTTGCAAAGGGATGTATGTCCAAGGTGTCGCATTTCCCAAGGACTCCCCAGCAAGCTGAGAGGGAAAGGCCAGGCAGGTTCCCAGTAGCCTCTGAATTCCCTTGCTGTGATCCTGTCACTGTGCTGGGCAAATGTGTTCCTGCCTCCTTTCTGCTCCTAAAGGAGGGACTGGCTCACTCAGCACCAGTGCATTAGGGGAAGGAGACAGGAAATAAAGGCTGAAAGATGCAGAAGCTGGGGTTTTCTGATTGTCCCTGGACACATTCCCAATGCTCTGACTGATGACTGAGAACTGTGCTTGGGGATAATGTCCCTTTTGGGCTAAAACCTTGCAAAGGGTCTTCACAGCCAGAATAAAATCCAAACTCCTCCACTCAGTCCTGGTGGTCCCCCCACCCCTTCACTCACTCCACATCAACCACACTGGCTCCCTGGGCTCGACGCCACCACCACGGCACCGTTGCACTTGCTATACCTTCGGCCTGGAATGCTCTTCTCGCCACTCTTTTCGTGGCCAGATCTTGTACTCAGGAACCCAGCTGTCCTCCAAGTCCCCCTGCCTGTTTCTTGTCCTTCCCCCTTGTAAATTTATTAATTTCTGTACAGCATTGATCACACCCTGTCAACCTGTCTTCCTCTCTCTGTACTTTGGCACTGAGCCTCACATGGGCATGTTGTAGATGCTTGAGAGACATCTGTTATAAGCAAATGACAGGACAGAATTTTCCTTTCTCTTCCAGACATGTCAGATAATGAGAGTAGAGAAGCAAGGCAGCCTCCTGACCCAGCAGAACCTTCCTGTCTACCGGGGAGAAATCAGGCCTTGAAACTCCAAGTGGTCCCTAGCATCTCTTCCTTCACCCTGTTTCCCACCTTGTTAGCATCCTCATCCCTGAGATCAAGATTATCCTATCTAATAAAAGAGTAATATGCAAATTGACCATCACTCCAACACACAAGATGGGCACCACAACATAGCCAGCGGAGGAGGGCAGTTGAGGGCGATCAGGACTGCAAGGGAGGGCATTTGGGGGGGACCAGGCCTGCAGGGGAGGGCAGTTGGGGGAACCAGGCCTGCAGGGGAGGGAAGTTAGGGGCGACCAGGCCAGCAGGGGAAGGCACTTAGGGGCAATCGGGCCAACAGGGGAGCAGTTAGGCGTCGATCAGGCTGGCAGGGGAGCAGTTAGGCGTCGATCAGGCTGGCAGGGGAGTGATTAGGGGGCGATCAGGCTGGCAGGCAGAAACGGTTAGGGGCAATCAGGCAGGCAGACAAGTGGTTGGGAACCAGCAGTCCTGGATGGTAAGAAGGATGTCTGACTGCCCTTGAGGGGTCCCAGATTGGAGAGGGTGCAGGCTGGGCTGAGGGACCCCCCCGCCCCCCTGCCCCCCGCATGAATTTCGTGCATCGGGCCTCTAGTCTAATATAAATGTCCCAATTGGTCACTACACACTAACCATGTGTCAGGTACTAAGCATTACACGACATCTGTTTACTCTTCTGTAGCAACCCAAGGAAGAGGGAACTAAGTTATCCCATTTTATAAATGAGAAAACAGAGCCCAAAGGTGCTAAGTACCTTGCTCAGGGTCACACAGCTGGTAAAAGGCAAAATTTGAAAACAGGCCACCTGCCTCTAAAACTCATATTCCAATCTATGTCCTAGACTGTCAGCTACTGGATTCCAGAACAAAACTTGAGGAAGGCCTGCCATAACCCGCACTCCACCCCCAACATCTCCACCCCTCTAATGACTAAATCAGCCTCCCTATTACATTCATCCAACAAATAACCCTGTACATTTTTTTTTCAGACCACCCTTTTTAGTTGCTGATGATATAATTACATGTTTACTCCCTATTAGGTTGAAACTGGTGTGAAATGACAGGAGCCTTACCTATTTTAGCACATGTTGCCTGGCACACCCTAGTGTTCAATGTTCATAGACGAGCAGCATAGGTTTAGTGGCGAACATTGCTGGGTTTGAATCTAATTTTGCCACTTCACCTTGGACCAGGTGTACGTAACCTGGGACTCAATTTCCTCACCTATAAAATGTGATAATCTGCCTGGCCAGTGTTGCTCAACCCATGAACCAGGAGGTCACGGTTCCAATTCCTGGTCAGGGCACATGCCAGGGTTGCAGGTTCACTCCCCAGTAGGGGGCATGTAGGAGGCAGCTGATTGATGGTTTCCCTCATCACTGATGTTCCTATCTCCCTCTCCCTTCCTTTCTGGAAAAAAAAAAAAAAAATTGAAAACAAAAATAAATAAAATAGTAATATATAAATAAAACAATATGACATAAAGTTGTCATGAAAAGTCAGTTAATATGTGTCAACATGCTTAAAGTAATGTCTATTATTATCTTACCTTCAACAAATACTGACTTAAAAACAACAACAACAACAACAACAAAAACAAATACTGACTTAATACCTGTTGTGTCTAAATACCATGAGAGGTAACAGATACGTGTAAACAAGGCAAACAGGGTTTCTGATCTCATTCTGGGGAGAGATGACAAAGAAGGAAACAAAATGGTGAGAAGTGCTATGAGGACAATAAAACACAGTCACGTACGCACTCTAGGTCACTGAAGGGGATGCTATTGTCAAGAAGATGACATTTACACTCAGACATGAAGGATGAGAAGAAACCAGAAGATCTGATGGAAAATCACCCTGGGGTGGCAAATGCAAAGGTCCTGGGGCAGGAATGAACTAGGCAGTTTGAGGAACAGCAAGAAAGCCAGTGTGGCGAGAAGAGGAAGGAAGGAGAAAGACAACACAAGCTCCCAGGCAGTTGTTGTCATGGCCTCCAGTAAATGCTCAATAAACAACGCCGGGGAAGGAACCTTGAGGGCTCCCTGGGCAGGGGATGAGGCAGTGCTGAGGAGTCTAGATTTAGCCCAGGACCGTGGGAAGCCATGGAGGGTTAATCAGCAGAGAGACAACTAATTTGTGTGTGTTGTTTTCAAGGAATGAAGGGCCTCGGAATTCCCTGTGCCTGGCTCCCACCTTCCAGGTCCACCCCATGGCGCTGGGCCAGGTGGAGAACATTATCCCCGACTCTGCCTCTCACCGGGATCCGCTGGCCCGACCGGTCTACGAACACCACGTTCACCCTGAGGACAGAGGGATGCGGATGCCGCATGGACGCGGGCCCGGGTTCCGGTGGAGTCCAGGCTTAGGGCAGGGAAACAGGACGGAGCGCAGGGAGACTCTAACGGTGAGGCTGCGGGGAAGGTGGGGACCGGGAAAACCTCGGGGGATGAGGAGTGGGGACGCCTCCCGCCCCCACCCGCACTCACACGTCCCCGGGCCGCTCGGGGCCGCTCGGTTCTTCCTCCCCCGCCGAGCGCGAGCCTGGAAAACACAGTTGGGTGAGCCGCACGCAGCGCCCTGCGGGCATCCGGCGGGTTAGTGCTGCCCAACCCCGGACCCGAGGCGCCGCAGGTACCTGTCACCCGGAATGTCCTGGCTGTCGCTGGTGACGCCGCCTCCCCGGACCCCCCAAAGCCCCCAGGACGGCTCCACCAGCGCCCTTTGGCCACCCGCAGCAAGAACCCAGCACTCACGCCG